GAAAGGTGGCATGTAATTTTGTAAGTCGTAAGTAGTTTTTTAATATTAAACATTAAAACTTTTATCTTTTTCCTTTATGTGGACTCCCAACCTTCCCAGACTTGTAGGGACTCTGTTGTTGTGCAGTGCAGTGGAAAGAATTATGTGATCTAATGCTCAGATAATCTAATGGAAGACTCTGAATGCAAAAAAAAAATTTTTAATGTACTTCCCAGATGTCTCTGACCTTCTGGAAAAAAAATTTTTTTCCTTCCAACTAATTTTAACCCTTTTTAGGTTGAAGCATAGAAATTAATGAAGTGGAATGCTTGGTTTGAATAAACTTTAAGAAAATATCTTTCTCCATTATTAATAAAAATAATTTATAGAAGCTCAGTTCCCAAATGGTCATATGCTGTAGTTGGGAAATGACAGTAGAATCTATATTGCACAAACTATGGTGAACATAATTTTAGTGTTTCTTTGATTCAGGAGGTGATGAATATGTAGACATACTGGTTAAAAGTATTTCATATAACATTTTAGTGTTTTGTGAGGTATTTTTCTTAACAGTTCCTCCTATTTACTGAATATTCTACATTCTATTAGCACTTCTCATGGTGCTGTACATGCTTTCATGATGCTCATAGCTCAGTTTACTGAAGCTGTCAAACAGTCTGATGTACTTCAGGTACAAAATTCTGATTGATTCTGATCTGTTTCTTTCAGGTAAGTCGCCATCATATAACGGATTTTATCTGATTCTCTAGATCAGATTGCTTTATTCTGGATATCATGGTAACAACACCGGAAGTATGTATAGTTTCTCATTCTTATAAGTAGTCATGACTACTGAAGAAAGAAATTCTGAAGAGAGAATTTATCTTGGTACATTTTATGGAAATTTGGATTTTGTTTCTAATTTTTGATAACCTTTGCTAAAGGTATGAACAAGTAAAGAATTTATCTCATTAGGCAATTATACATTAATAAGAATGCCAAGAAGAGGATTGTTTCTTCAGACCCGGACCCACTGGCTGCTGTTTGGTCTGGCTTTACTCTGCAGTTTGGTATTATTTATGTACCTTCTGGAATGTGCCCCCCAGACTGATGGAAACGCATCTCTTCCGGGTGTTATTGGGGAGAATTATGGTAAAGAGTATTATCAAGCCCTGCTACAGGAGCAGGAAGAACATTATCAAACCAGGGCAACCAGTCTGAAACGCCAGATTGCCCAGCTGAAACAAGAATTACAAGAAATGAGTGAGAGGCTGAGATCATTACAAGAGAGAAAGAATGGAGTGGCTAATGGCGTAGGGTATCAAGGCAACAAAGAACAAGCACCTAGTGATCTTTTAGAGTTTCTTCATTCCCAAATTGACAAAGCTGAAGTTAGCATAGGTGCCAAACTACCAAGTGAATATGGGGTCATTCCCTTTGAAAGTTTTACCTTAATGAAAGTATTCCAATTGGAAATGGGTCTCACTCGCCATCCTGAGGAAAAGCCAGTTAGAAAAGACAAGCGAGATGAATTGGTAGAGGTTATTGAAGCCGGGTTGGACGTCATTAATAATCCTGATGAAGATGATGATCAGGAAGATGAGGATAATCGCCTTGGAGAGAAGCTGATATTTAATGAAAATGACTTCGTAGAAGGTAATGTGAAAAATGTATCGGTTTATAGTTATATTTGTATGACAAAATGCTAGTATTGTATACTGGTAATATGTCAGTCATTGTCCACAATATAAAAACATTTAAGTTTTTACCCACTTCATTCTATCAAGAATTTGAAGTGCACTTGGCTGCTAACTGAAAGGTCAGCAGTTTGAACTCACCTGCCGCTCCGTGGGAGAAAGATGTGGCGGTCTGCTTCCGTAAAGATTTACAGCCTTGGAAACCCTATGGGACAGTTCTGCTCTGTCCTTTAAGGTCACTGTGAGTCAGAATCGACTCGATGGTAACAGATCTGGTTTTAATTTTGTTTTGGAAAAAGTTACAATGAGATCATAATAAAATAGAGAATATGTACCAGGGAAATATATCTAAGCTTATATTGCTTAGATATGATATATTTCCCTGGTGGTGCAGTGGATAAGCGCTTGACTGCTAATGGAAGGGTTGGTGGTTTGAACCCACTAGCCACTCCCAGAGGAGAAAGATGTGACAGTCTACTTCTGTAAAGATTTGCAGCCTTGGGAACCCTATAGGCAGTTCTACCCTGTCCTGTAGGGTGGCTATGAGTCAGAATCAGCTCAGTGGCAATGGGTTTGTTTTTTTGGTTTAAGCTTATAATAGTGTGATTACTGAGGTTGAAGTAGACTCTCCTGGGTTATATATGTACTTGCATTCCTTTCTTACCTGGCCTTGATCTTGTTTTTTATGTTTTTAAAAATGTGTGAACTGAGGCTCAAAATTTGAAAACCATTTGATAAAGTAAAGAAAAAAAACTAATCTAGTAGATTAGTGGTTATTCTTCATTTTGGAGGAAGGAGAAGCACATATCGAAACATCAAGGAGTCACATACAGTCATGCGTCACTGTATATCCACGATACGTTCTGTGAAATAGGACGTGATGTGATTTGGACGTTGTGCAAACACCATATTTTATACAGGCAGTGCCTGGATTACAAACATCTGACTTATGGACAATTCATACTTAAGAATGGACTGCCATAAAACCTGTTAATTAAAAATTAGAGTTTAATACATACAGTGGTTCATAATAATAAATGCACATACTACTTTGTGACACTTATGAAAACATTGCGCAGTTTGGAAGTGTTTCTTAAGTGTTACATCCGCTACATCCTGTTTTCCAGTCGGGATTTCTGAACTCTGTTATAACCTTATGGGACCACGAACGTGTATGTGGACGTTGCTTGAATGGACATCACGCGACACATGACTGCATACCATATTTTTATGCAAATAATGTGCACCTTCTGCGTTTGTTTGCTGGCTGCACCCTCCTTCCGTGAGGCACTTCCACAGGGCTGCCATGCCAGTCCTCTTCCACATGTTGCTATTAAAAAAATTTATCATAGCACAAAAATACCTTGTGGGGGAAGGGCACATTATTTGCATAAACATATGGTAGTTTTGAAAATCATATTCAGTATTTGGAAAAGTAGGGAAATATCTATATTCCCAATATAAACTACAGAAAGCACGTTGTTGTATGTCAAGATAGGGCATGAATCAAAGGTTGAGGAACATTGCTATAAATTTAAGACATTTGTTGTCTGATATAAACAGGAATAATTATAGATCCCACCCATCTCCATCTTAATACCCCTTGCTAGATATATTTAATTGCAGACCTAAAACCATTTTGAATGTGTCATTTTTAAAAGTTCTCTTTGCCTGACTCTTTAAAAAGTACACCACATGTAGTTTTTGTTGACCTTGAGTCCTCATGAATATCACTTAATGTGCTGTAATAGATTGAGGCCTTTGGAGACCATCGGGCATTTTCAGTGGCATTTCAGCTTCGCTCTGTGGCCACCTCTTTTTTCTGCTGTCACATCCTGCCATTTTTGATCAGTTGTTTCTCTAGAAACTCCTAATTTTTCTCCAGGGTCAGCTTTTTGTCTTTTTACTCTGTAGCTTATGGCTGCAGAGGAAATAAGATAACTAGTTAATGTATGTAAAATGCCCAAGTTAACGTGTAAAATGCCCTCACATGGGCTCTGCCTAAAGAGAAAGGGAATGGCCACTTTTATGTCCTACAGCTTCTGCTTACCTTGTAGCTCTCCTTGGATTTTCTCACAGGATTTTTCTCTGCATATTCTGTCATTCAGTTTTCTTCTACTGGGCATTCCTCCCCCCGCGCCCCTTAGTAATTACCGACAGCAGCAACTGAGTAACTGCTATTTGTGTTCCAGACTTTGGCTGAGATGTCACTTCTTCCAGGAAGTCATCTCCAACCCTGCAGGTTTAAGAGAACAGTGCTTCCTGAATGCTCTTGAAATCCACTACTCTTTATTTCCCCTCTCATGGCTCTAGTTGTTTACTGATTTGTAGTTCCTGCTAGATTGTAAGATTCCGGGGGGCATCCCGCTGAGGGTTGTTCTCCATTTTATTCCCAGATATTAACTGAGAGTAGTCATAACATCTATAGGTCTGACCTTCTGTCTCCTGATGGTCACACTTTAAAATCAGATTGCCTAGTAGACTTCTGTGCTTTTCTCCCAAAGTCATCTCAAATTACTGTTTAAATCTATACTAATTTTTCATATATGTATGTATATATATATATATATGTATCAAGAACTGTATTGTTACTATTTGTTTATTTTTGTCTCTCTCATTTGACTGACCCTCCTTCAAAACTGGGACCGTGTTAATTGCCTTCTTTACATCACCAGTGACTGACATGAAGGCACTCTGTTCATTGTTGTTGAATTGAACCAAGTAGATGTTTTGACTCTTGGGTCTAGAATTTAATATTGCTAGAAGTAGTTTCTTTACCTTTATAGTGAAGTTGCTTGTAATATGTGTTGATAGCTTTATTATGGAAAAAAAAGTCATATGTAAAAGGGAATAATTGTTATTTGGATCATATTTTATGGATTTAATAATAATATATCAGAGCAGTGAACATTTTTTTTTCTTAATCTCTCCTTTTTTTTTAAAGGAATAGTTGCAACAGACTGTACAGTGGTGACATCTATTTTTATAAATAGATAAAAAATAATCCTACAGGTTTGGTTTAATACTTTGACTAAGTAAAATCAGTATTCTCATTGAATTTATGCATTTTGACATGGAGGCATCTTTCCTAACTCTGTCCTTTAGGTTACTATCGCACCGAGAGAGATAAGGGCACACAGTACGAACTCTTTTTTAAGAAAGCAGACCTGATGGAATATAGACATGTGACCCTCTTCCGCCCTTTTGGACCTCTCATGAAAGTCAAGAGTGAGATGATCGACATTACCAGATCCATTATTAATATCATTGTGCCACTTGCTGAAAGAACTGAAGCGTTTGCACAGTTTATGCAGAACTTCAGGTAATTCTCAGGGCTTAATGATTTGGCTAAGTCCTGCCAAAAATCACATTTCATGCAGATTTACTTAATTTATCTTTACTGAGTACTTAGAATTACAGAATAATTTTATAGGCTTTAAAGGAACATTTATTTTTGATATTCTCATTTATCTTAAAACATGCGTAGTATATTGTTGTATTGATAATTTAAACCTGGAAGTAAATCGAGGGTGACAATTATTAGAAGCAAAATTTGATGGCAATTATATGTATTTATGCAATTATTATGCAATTATATGTGAATTCATTGTAGAAGAAACAAAATTTTAAAAAATTAACTTTAATGAGACACAGTTTGCATGCAATGAAATTCACATACTTTAAGTATACAGGCCCCCATGACTTTTGGCAAATATTTATACTCATGTAATCAATATCCCAATCAAGATATAGAACATTGCTATCTCCCCAGAAAATTCCCTCTAGAACAAATTGAGTTTTAAAATCAAAATAAATTTTAGGAGCACAAATATTCAACTAAAAATGGGGAAAAAATTATTCCATCTTGGGAAGCAAAGACTTTTTTCCTTTTTTGTCACTAAATTTGGATGTTTTAAAATGTGGAAGTGTTAGTTAATAACCATTTATTTTGGTAACTGTATGAGGAGCATGGGAGAAAGATGTGCTGCTTCGGTAAAGATTACAGCCTTGGAAACCTTAGGGGGCAGTTCTGCCCTATCCTGTGGGGTCACTGTGAGTTGAAATTGACTCGACAACAATGAGTTTGGGTTTTTGTACGTGAGGAAAGTACTACTTTTTTGTTTTAATTTAACAATTGCCATGTTTTAATTACTTTTAGATATTTAAAAGTAGGCCACACAAAAGTTATTTTTCTATTAATGCTTTTTAAGTGACCTTTTGTATTTCAAAGTGTTATAAATGTCAAACTAAGTATTCTAGACTAATATGCTAGTTTTAATGCTTTATAATCCTAATCTTTATTCTCATAATTAAATTGTTGGATTTAAAAGTTAACACTATTTTTTAGCAAAATATCAAAAAGCTGTGCTTCCAAATTAGTTTCACCTACTTGAAATAGCTTGTTTGAGACCTGATTTCCTAAAGCATTTTTGACTACCTTTCTTGAATTGCCTTCAAAGACTATGTTATTCTTAACACTAAGTAATCTCAGTCATGGCAAATCTTTATTCATCGATGATAGGTACACTTTCCAGAATTAGCCTGAAAACAAAGAACTCTTGATCCAAAGCTGGATATTTATTTGGTTCTGAACGGATTGGATTTATTTGAGTAGCTTGTAACTTGCTTCTAAAGGCAATACCAAAGCCAAAGTTCCAAAGATGTTTGGAAACATGGCAGTATTGTTGGAATGCATCTATGGCACTTCAAGGATTGCACTCACGGTATGTAAGTTGGTATGCATTTGCTGTAATGCCTTTAACAGTTCAGCAGTATTGCTGCTTTTATATTAAAGCTTTGTGTGATGATTTTCTAAGTAAGTAATGCCTCATTATTGCTTTCTGAATAAGTAGTGCCTCATATATTTTTTTGAACAAACTTTATTCTTCAATTCTGTTAGGGATGTGTGTATTCATCAGGACAAGAGGATTCACCTCACAGTGGTGTATTTTGGTAAAGAAGGACTGTCTAAAGTCAAGTCTATCCTAGAATCTGTTACAAGGTTGGTGAGCCATTGTCCACATTGAAGTTGATATATAACATGAGAAGAATGAGAATATCTGTATTTAATGAGTTAATAATTTTGAATAGCTGCTGTTTAAAAGTTGGCTGAGCATGTATATGGTGGCGATCATAAATTCGTGATTTCACGTGCAACCCTAAATAACTCATCTTCCCTTGAACTCTTTGCAGACAGCTTGGCATGATCAGGGCGCTGTCACTCTGTGGCCCACCACCTTTTATATGTTTGTCTCCATTTATTATTTTCTTCTGACGAACTCTTTCCCTTTTTCTAAACGTAATTCTCTTTGATATCATGTCCTAAGCCTGTCTCTTTCTTGTCACCTTTCTTTTTTTTCCATTTTCCCAAGCTATTCCATCTTACCCTGCAAATGATGCTTAGGTCTCCCAGATCCTTAAGAAGCCCCACCTGACTCTGCAGTACCCAGTAGTACTGTTAGGTTTCTGTCCTTTCACAGCTAAACCTCACAAGGTAGTAGTTCTGTAACCAAGCAGCCTATATAGTATCTGGCACATAATATGTGCTCAGATGTTTGAATGAATGAATAAATTAGTAATTCCTTAATACTTGTTAATTCTGTAGCTTCTCAGCCTTTTCTTCTCTGAATTGTGGGCCCAAAGTTAGGACCTACTGCCAAATTCAGCCTTTTCTTTGTCATCCTCTTCGATCTCCTTTTTGCATCTGACACCTAACCACTATTTCCTCCTTGAAGCAGTCTGTAGTTTGTAAAATGTCAGTACTGTGTTAATGTGAGAATGCTAGAATGTAGCACATGAGCTTTTCTGACTGCCCCAACTCTGGCCTTCATTTGCTTCTTTACCTGTCTGCTCATTGTGGCCATTCCTTCAGAGGCCATGTTCTCAGAAGCCGTTGTTCTTCAGTCGTCCAGCTAACATTTGTTGAGTCCTGCCTACCATGTGGCAGGTGCACTGCTCTGGAGTCTGACTGGGACAGTTAGAAGAAAACTGGGCACAGATGAGGGAGATGCTGTTCCTCCCTTGAAGGGACTCTCACAGCATTGGTGTATAGAAGTACAGCTCATTGCCTTCTTCTCTACCCCAGCTCCTCCTCTTAATAGCCTGCTTTTAGTTCAGAGTAAAACCATTCTTATGAATTCTCTGAGAGTCGGAGTCTTACTCATTCTTTACCATATACCTCTGATAAGTCAGTTCCTACCTGCTTCATAGGGCCTCTTCTCTGTCTCTTCTTTGCTACTGCCACCCACCCTGGTGCATATTCTCCCTCCCTCCATTTCTTCCTTTCTTCCTCTCTCTCTTTACCACTTTTAGATCACTTTGTAAGTGCCACGCCTTTACATTGGCTTTACTGAATTCATCCTTGTATTAGTCAGGACTCCTTTGTGGCAGAGATGGAAACCTGCCTTGAGCTTGCTTAAGGAAAATAGGAAAATTACTGAAGAATATTGGATAGCTCCCAAAATTAAAGGGATTATTAGAACCAAGTTTTTGAAAGAATACCAAAACAGCTTTGGCATCTCAGGGAACTAGAACCAGAAACTTGAATACCATCAAAATTGTCTTGTTGTCATCTTGTCTGTTTTTCTCTGCATGTCGACCTGATTCTCCTATTGCAGATTGGCTTCTTCTGCATGGTAAGGGATATGGCTGTTGGCAGCTTTGGGCTCACGACTTCTCAGCTTTGTCATCAGAGAAGAAAGCGCTCTCTCCCACCTCCAGTTGAGAAAATCCCAGGGAAGGACTTTCTGTCCACTCTTGAGCCAATCACTATGGCCAGGGGGGGTGAGGGTATTGTGATTGGCCTAGCTTCAGTCTGGCCCCCACCCCTAGGAGATTACTGTGATTGGGGTGGGTAGAGAGTGAGGAAGACTCTGTGATCAGTTCCTCCACTTGGTGCTGGGGGCTGTAGGAGATAGGGGGTGTGAGGAGGAGGTGATCAGCAGTTTCCTAAAAGAAGGGGTAGATTTATATCCTGTAAGAAGGGGAGGGAGCCCTGGTGGCACAGTGGTTAAGAACTCGGCTGCTAACCAAAAGGTCAGCAGTTAGAATCCACCAGCCACTCCCTGGAAACTCTATGGGACAGTTCTACTCTGTCCTGTAGGGTCACTATGAGTCGGAACCGACTCAACAGCAACAGGTTTGGTTTGGAAGAAGGGGAGAGGAGTCATGGACATTGTGAGTACTTGGTGTCCACTCCATGGACAATTGGAGCCTTTGCTCTCATCTCCCTGTTACTCGTTCTGTACCACTGTGAGACTAATCTTCTTTTTTGATCCAGCTGTATCCTGAGGTTCTCCACCCTGAGCCTCACCTGATACTCCCACCGCCAGCATCTGATTCAGTGGATCTGGGATGGGGCCTGAGCATTTGCGTTTCTAACACATTCCTAGGGGAAGCAGATGCTGCAGATTTGGGGACCTCACTATGAGAACCACTTCCCTAACAGAAAAACCTTGCTGACACCTCCTTGCCTTTAGGATTCTGGCCAGATTTTTGAGCCTCTCATGAAAGGTGTTTTCAGTTTGACCGTTTTCTGGTCGTCACAGTGTTTCCATCCTCTTTCCAGTCTAATTTGTATGACCCCTGTTCTCTAAGATGCTTTCTGCTCTCTCTTTGCCTTTTAGACTGATTTGAAAATTGGAATGACCTTTACGCCCACCACTGAATTTAAGATTTTAACCAAAGCGTAACTCGAGTTTCACTTCTAACATGTTCTCTGTCTACTCCAGGCAAAAACAGTCTTTTTTCTCTGAACTGCTGTTCATTCATTCATTCAGCAAATATTTATTAAACTCCTACTTTATGAGGGGTACTTTGTCCAAACTAATGAACAGAACAGAATCCCTGCTTTCATGGAGCTTACCTTCCAGTTGAGGGAGACATTCAAACAAATATGTAACATATTTGGTGGTATTAAGGAAAATAAAGCTGACTAAAGGGATAGAGAATAAAGAAGGAGGCCAGTGCTGCTTCCCATACAGTAATCAGGGAGGATCCCTCTGATTAGGGGACCTTTGAACAAAGATCCAAAGGGCGTGAGAGAAGAGCGTTCTTTTTCTGTATCATTTGTGTGGATGCATTCTTTATTAACCGACAGTATGGCAGTTTTTTCCCCATGTGGATATTTCTTATTTCCCCAATAGTTTTTTAAGATCCTGAAGGACAGTGTCCATTCCTTAACACTTATAACCTCACAACACCGTGTAGCAAGGAAGGGGCAGAGAAGTAACACCAGCAGCATGTTACCTCAGATTTGGGCATTTAGTGTATAGCTCTGCCTCGTGATGATTATACATGTGAAGCTGGTGATTTCCTTTTCTTGTAATGAATGTAGAACCAACATAATAAAAATACTTGAAGTGTAAAACGTATTTTGTAAATTGTATTGAAGGAAGAGAGTTGTTAAAATTTGTTGTATGTGCTTTCCTTATAGTGAGTCTAATTTTCACAATTACACCATGGTGTCATTGAATGAAGAATTTAATCGTGGACGAGGACTAAATGTGGGTGCCCGAGCTTGGGACAAGGGAGAGGTCTTGATGTTTTTCTGTGATGTTGATATATATTTCTCAGCCGAATTCCTTAACAGCTGCCGGTTAAATGCTGAGCCAGGTGCGTAAAACATTGGTAGATGACCTGAGTTGAGAATTTCGAACGGTGTCAGCATATCCTATACTCTGAGTTGGATTGATTTGAGGGAAAAAGAAGTTTTAATTAATTTTTTTTTAACATTATATTAGGCATAATTTAACTGGAATATTAAGTAGAAAATTTGCCACTCTGAACTTCATATTCGTTCTCTTGGGGCCAAATTCTAATGACTTTAAAGCCAAATAAATAAAAAGGAATAAAAGGTCTGAAAATTAACAAGGAGGGAGCTACGCCAGTCAGAAAAAGAGCTGACCAGGTGGTTTGGAAATATGTGCAAGTCAGAAGTGTCCAACCTCAGACGAAGGCTACAGACACACATATGCAAGAATCTACATACATGTATTGCTGGATCTCAAAAGTATGCATTTTGGGGTGATTTACTATACTTTGCTTATGTTGTAGATTTAATGTATGAGCTAGTGGTATTTTTATAAATCAAGTTTTATTTTAAATGTGAAAAAGAAGCGTTCTGTATTAAAGAATCTCATAGTAAATTTTTTTTTTAATGTGGACTATTCATACCATGCAAATGGTTACCTTCTTATTAGTCACTTTGGTTGGAGATAGTTGCCAGGAAGGAACTCTCTGAGAGCCTAGTGAATAAATAAGGATTTAAGCTTGCTTTTGTTACTCCAGAGAGTACGAAATTCAAAATGTGGAAGTTGAAGGAGACAGGTATTTGCTCAATGTAAAAGAAGTGCTCTAATATCCAAAAATAAACAGGTTTGCCTCAGGGAAATTGAGCTCCATGTCCCTAAGTGGGTTTTAAGGAAGGTGGGATGAGCATCTGCTGGGGATCTTGTGATAAAGATGCTGCCACATTACCTACACAGTGCTTTCCAGTTTACCAGCCACTTTATCTGACCAGTTTTGATTGGGGCCAGTCATAAAAAGGGTTTCTCTGCTGAGCGGTAGTTGGGCTGGTTAGACTGTCAGTCCCCTCAGTGCCAGTCACTTGAATGCTAACAACAAGGGCTTCTGCTTACTACTTCAGGCATTTTTGAGCCTTACTCCCTCATCATCCCAACCTTTCCAGACCTTGGTTAAATCGGTGTACAGTTCTGCATTTTAATTATTCGCTGCATATCTATTTATTGTACAGAATTCTTTAAATTTACTGTTTCTGATGCCTCATTTTGAAGGTGTATTTAACAGAAGTCTCTGAATTTCTTGGTAGTTGTCCGAGGTTAACCTTCATCTATTCCTACTGATGAGATGAAATGAGGAGCAGTAAATGGCTCACCTAGTGAATATCTGAGAGAATACCCTGCTGATCCCCCCATAGCAAAGGGAGTAAATATGTAGAGCACACTGTAGTCTGGTTCTGGTTTTTTTTGCGAGGTTATAGTTTTGTGGACTGACCTGGTAATAGGTTATAGAGTCATCAAGCGTGTTCATCAAATCAACATGCTGGTCAGTAGCCTAAATATTGATCGATATGTTGTAAATAAAATCGCCATAGGTGGTAAGAAAGACTAATAAAGTCTTAATAAAGATTGTACTAAAGATCAGTCCTTCATTTTATAATTTCCTTGTGTAATATAAAACATATACTTTAATTTATAGGTAAAAAGGTATTTTATCCTGTGGTGTTCAGTCTTTATAATCCTGCCATTGTTTATGCCAATCAGGATGGGCCCCCGCCTGTGGAACAGCAACTGGTAAGACTTGTTCTTGTCAACTATGAAAGGTCTGAAAAGTTTTTCCTAGATTCTTTTATTTTTGTTATACAAGTAGAAAACAAAGTTTCAATAAAAAATTATAGTTATTATTCACATATTTCCATAGTCTCTTCTTCCCCCATAAAATACTTTCATACTTGTTGTTTCAGAATTGAGTGTCCTTCTGGAATCTAGGCAACAAAGAAAAATCTCATGTTCCAGAATGTGGAAATTGTACACTCATTTCTGCCTGCTTATTTTGGTTGTTGTTGTTGTCAGGTGCCGTCGAGTCAGTTCCGACTCGTTGTGACCCTGTGTGCAACAACGAAATACTGCCTGGTCCTGTGCCATCCTCACAGTTGTTGCTACGTTTGAGCCCATTGTGCAGCCACTATGTCAGTCCATCTCACTGAAGGTCTTCCTCTTTTTTACTGACCGTCTACTTTACCAAGCATGGTGTCCTTCTCCAGGGACTGGTCCCTCCTGATAACATGTCCAGAGTATGTGAGATGAAGTCTTATCATCCTCTCTTCCAAGGAGCATTCTGGTTGTACTTCTTCCTGCTAATAGGTTATAGTTCGTTCTTGTTCGTTCTTCTGGCAGTCCATGGCATCTTTAATATTCTTCACCAACACCGTAATTCAAAGGCGTCAGTTCTTCTTTGGTCTTCCTGATTCATTGTCCAGCTTTCACATGCATATGAGGCAATTGAAAATACCATGGCTTGGGTCAGGTGCACCTGAGTCCTCAAAGTGACATCTTTGCTTTTTAACACTGTTGTAGCAGATTTTGCAGCAACGCAATACACTGTTTGATTTCTTGACTGCTGCTTCCATGGATGTTGATTATGGATCCAAGTAAAGTGAAATCCTTGATAACATCAACATTTTCTCCGTTTATCATGACGTTGTTTATTGGTCCAGTTGTGAAGATTTTTGTTTTCTTTATGTTGAGATGTAATCCATACTGAAGGCTGTAGTTTTTGATCTTCATCAGTCCATGCTTCTTCAAGTTCTCTTCGCTTTCAGCAAGCAAGGTTGTGTCATCTGCATATTGCAGGTTGTTAATGAGTCTTCCTCTAATCCTGATGCCATGTTCTTCTTCCTATAGTCCAGCTTCTTGGATTAGTTGCTTAGCAAATTGAGTAAGTATGGTGAAAAGATACAACCCTGTTGTACACCTTTCCTGATCTTAAACCACACAGTATCCCATTGTTCTGTTCAAATGACTGCCTCTTGGTCTATGTACAGGTTCCTCATGAGCACGATAAAGTGTTCTGGAATTCCTGTTCTTCACAATGTTATCCATAATTTGTTATGATCCACACAGTGTAATGCCTTTGCGTAGTCAATAAAACAGAGGTAAACATATTTTTGGTGTTCTCTGCTTTCAGCCGAGATCCATCTGACATCAACAATGATTTTGATAATTTCCACATACTGTTGGATTATCTTTCTTTGGAATGGGCACAGATATAGATCTCTTCCAGTCATTTGGCCAGGCAGCTGTCTTCCAAATTCTTGACGTAGACGAGTGAACACTTCCAGCGCTGCATTTGTTTGTTGAAACATCTCATTTGGTATTCCGTCAATTCCTGGAGCCTTGTTTTTCGCCAATGCCTTCAGCGCAGCTTGGACTTCTTCCTTCAGTACCATCGGTTCTTGATCAATGCTGCCTCCTGAAATGGTTGAATGTCGACCAGTTCTTTTTGGTACAGTGTCTCTGTATATTCCTTCCATCTTCTTTTAATGCTTCCTGTGTCATTCAATATTTTGCCTATAGGATCCTTCAAAGTTTCAACTCGAGGCTTAAGTTTTTTCTTCAGTTCAGTTCTTTCAGCTTGAGAAATGCTGAGTGTGTTCTTCCCTTTTCGTTTTCTAACTGCAGGTCTTTTCACATCTGATTATGATACTTTTCTTTGTCTTCTCAAGCTGCCCTTTGAAATCTTCCATTTGGCTCTTTTGCTTCATTATTTCTTCCATTCACTTTAGCCACACTACATTCAAGAGCAAGTTTCAGAGTCTCTCTTGACATCCATTTTGGTCTTTTCTTTCCTTCCTGTCTTTTTAATGACCTTTTGCTTTCTTCATGTATGATGTCCTTGATGTGATTCCACAACTTGCCTGATCTGCGGTCATTAGTGTTCAGTGCGTCAGATCTATTCTTGAGATGGTCTCCAAATTCAGGTGGGATATACTCAGGTCATATTTTGGCTGTCATGGACTTGTTTTGATTTTCTTCAGCTTCAGCTTGAACTTACGTGTGAGCAATTGATGATCTGTTCCGCAGTCAGTGCCTGGCCTTGTTCTGACTGATGATGAGATTTTCCATTGTCTCTTTCCACAGATGTAGTTGATTTGATTCCTGTGTTTTCCATCTGGCGAGGTCCATGTGTATAGTCGCCATTTATGTTGTTGAAAAAAGGTGTTTGGAGTGAAGAAGTCGTTGGTCTCGCAGAATTCTGTCATGCGATCTCTGGTGTCATTTCTGTCACCAAGGCCATATTTTCCAACTGCCCATCCTTCTATGTTTCCAACTTTCACATTCTAGTCACCAATGCATCTTGAATGCATGTTTTATCAGTGTTAACATCTTACAGAACCATTATACATTCATCAAAATTAAGATATTAACATTGGTATGTTACTGTTAAGGAGTCCTGGTGGCAGAGTGGTTAAGCACTCAGCTGCTAACTGAAAGGTCGGCGGTTCAAACCCATCAGCTCCTCCACATAGAAAGATGTGACAGTCTGCTTCCATGGAGCAGTTCTCCTCTGTCCTATAGGGTTGCTATGAGTTGGAATCAAGTCGAAGGCAATGGGTTTTTGGGTGGCACAGTGGTTAAGCAGATTGACTGCTAACTTAAAAGTTGGTGGTTCGAACCCACCAGCCGTTCCTAGGGAGAAAGATGTGGCAGTCTGCTTCCATAAAGATTACAGCCTTGGAAACCCCATGGGGCAGTTTTACTTTGTCCTACAGGGTGGCTATGAGTTGGAATCAACTTGATAGCAGTGGGTTTTGTTTTTTATGTTACTGTTAAGTATACTACAGATTTTATTAGAATTTCGTTGGTTCCCACTAATGTCCTTTTTCTGTTCCAGGATATAGGCCAGGGTACCTCATTGCATTTAGTATAGTCTTTTGGTGTTAACATGAATAAAGAGTGGAAATGAACTAAGAAGTGAATTTAATATGTTTAAGAAAATAAAAAATAAACCCAAGGAAAGCAGGAGGAAACAAACATAGAAATTAATGAAACAAATATTGTGGGTTGATAAATACAAGAGCTTGTTCTTTATTTGCAAAAAAATTTTAATTTCAGTCATAAAGTGGGTAGATTCAGGGTACAAAGAGGTTAACATTGGAAATTAGGATGTGAAAGCACTAAGAGATATCAACTATATATGATAAAATTTTAAAATTCTAAATTAAAGGAAAGATTTGAGAATTTATAAAATACTAACATGAGCTAAGACGAAATGGAAGCACTGAAGAGACCAGGAGCCATACAAAAATTACAGTAGTTATCCAAAATTTTACCAAGTTTTCCCAAACTTTCAAGGAGCAGGTAATATTAGTGCCATATGATTTATTTAATATATTTTATGAGACCAGCATTATCTTGGTACAAACACCAGGCAAAGCATGTGAGCACACATGCACACACGCACACCCCACTAATTGACATGTAGTCAGTGTTACTTAGGAACATGAATACAAACGGGGTCAAAATGGCAGACCGAGCACCCACATCTGCCTTACCTCACATCCAAAATGCTTCGTAAAAATGAGTTATTGAAAAGAAAAATCCACAATAGTGTTTAAAAAATGAGAGAAATGCCCTTAGCAGAAGAGAAATTTCTCTAAGGTAGAAACAGCATGGAATTGATGGCGGGATAGTGTGGAAAAGAAAACAGTCTAGAATGTGTTCGGATCACTGCGTGAAGATGGGGCTGCTCTGCATCCTCTGGACTCATAGAAGGCAGAGTGGGTGGGAGCCATGGAGTTTGTGTGCTGCTCGGGTGTGCTGAGCGGCGGGCACCACAGGGATTGACTCCCAGGCTGCAGCAGCGTGTGGTCGCTGGAGCGGGAGAGGCAGAGCAGGGTCTTAGCAAACTCTTGCATTGCAGGATGGCTGGGAAGCTGTGGATACTGTCTGAGACCATATCTGCCCCTCTTCCACTGTTATTGGAGATAAGCCGTTGTAGTCACAGCCAACAGCCATGAATTTTTTGAATAATGATTTTTGAAATAAAAATGAGTAGCAGTTAACCAAGACTAACCAAATAGTTAAGGAAAGCCAACAGTTTGAGAAAGGCACCAAATTTTAATAAACAGAAAAATTAACACGTGAGAACATGAATATAGATAGAAAATATCTGTAGATTAGAGAAAAATTGAATTTGTAAACAAGATATGTTGCTAAAAAAATCACTGTAAATTGTGAAAATATAAAACTCAGTGAATGGGCTGAATAGTGGAATGGTCACAGATGCATGTAGATATTGAATTGATGAATGTTTTTGTGTGTGTATTTTCACCACAATAAAAAGAAAAAATGGAAACGGAAAATATATATACCTCATTTATCAGCTCCAGCTTCACTGAGTCCTCAGTGCTACCTGATTCATTCTGTTTTTTCCAGTCAGTTGTCTCATTCTGAACAGCAACTTTTTCAGACCATCACCACCCCCCTCCGCCCCAGTCCCATCAGTCACTTGCTGACTTTTGTCAGTTGTGTGTCCTAAGTCTTTTTCACATCTATCATCTTTTCTTTCTTTTTGTCCACACATATTACCGTAGTCTACAGCACCAGCTTCCCGTGCCCAGATTATAAACTGCTGCTCTTCACCACCTCCCTGCCTCCCTTTTTCCCCTTTCTAATCTCTTCTCTATATCCTAGCCAGGGTGATCTTCCAAAACATCATCTCATCCCATTTCTCCTCTGAATGACTCTTCAAAGAATACCCATTGTCATTAGGATAAAGCCACCCGCATGAC